ATGAAGTGACAAAACATAATGTATAAGATCATACCACAATAAATAATGCAACATAGCATAAATCCTAACGTAGCATAAACATTAAAGTTTCTATATAATAATATAATTAATTTCTGAAATATTCTGCATGGTGCTGGAATTGGATACAAGATTTTAACTTTTTTCTTTATTTTAGAATATTTTTAGAATAATGAAAACAGAATAAAAATGAACAAGAACCAATGTTTTGGAATGAAAAAGAAGAAAGGACAAAAGGACAAAAACAAAAGTGTAAAAATCAAACAAAAGGGAAAAAACAATTATGAAGTGACTGCTGATCTTCCTTTACAGTTGTTATAAATATAACTAATTTAATCTCTTTCTCTATAGTTACAACATTGTTTACATTTTTCTATAATCTACTATTTTTATTCTAATAATCAAAATGTATATCATAACTTCATTTTTTCTGTTTCCACAAAAGGACAATAAGGAGTTTACAGTCATCATTAAACTTAGACAATGTCCTATCTCTAATTAAAGCAGCCAATTTGGCCATCTCAGCAAGTTCCATCATCTTCACCATTCATTCCTCCATTGTGGATAAAATTGAACCTTTCCACCTTTGTGAATACAATAGTCTTGCTGTTGTCATATATAAAAATAAAACTTCATGATTTTTTTCCCAGCTGCTTATCCATCAATCCCAAAAGAAAAGTCTCGTATATGAATCTTTAAAATTTTATTTATATGTAATGGAGTCCAAAATTTTCTGGCTTTTTACATGTCCACCAAGCATGATAAAATGTCCCTTCTTGTTGATTACATTTCCAGTGTAAGTTCTAAAAACCTTTATACATTCTAGACAATTTTCCAGGGACATGTACCAGTGATATGCCATTTTATAACAATTATACAGTACTTAAGACTATAATATAATATATATTTCAGTCCTTTCAATCACATTTTCTTCAATTAAGCCATCTGCATATTATAATCAAAGTTCTATGATACATCAATTCATTTATTCATTTGTTTCATATTTTATTTCATAAATTGTACACAATTTCATTTCAAATTGCATCTTACAATATTCAAAACCAAAAGTTCTCTTATCTATTTTACATCTTTCTAATAATTCTATGTAAGAAACCCATTGCCATTAACATCCTTCTACTGCCAACTCTTGTCTTATTTTTATTCTGTAGGCTCCTTCACAAAATTCTAATATATCAGAGTAAGCTAATCATGTATCTTTAGTAATCATTTCTCTTCTGTAAAATGCTTATTGTGCTGACAGGCACAAAGTTATTTTGAAGCACAACTCAGGTTTAAGTGTCTTTATGTTCTCACTATGGCATGACTAACAAAATGATTTTTAAAATCTACATTAACCTTAACTTTTTGTATTATAGATATCCATGCTACCTAAATTTTAAGCCATATCCATCTAACTCTAAAAGCTTTTTGTTTCTCCATTCTTTCATCCAAACAAATAGTAGGCTGCAAAATATAATTACAGATCAGGTAAGCCCAATGTTTCTTATGCATTTTGTAAAACCATTATAACTAAAATGCTTTTCCCCTGCTACACAAATTTAGATATCTCTTTTTATCATTGTTTAAATGGTAGATATCAAAACTGGTATTGTCTGCAAGATGTTCATTGTAATCACAGTCATTTTCTCCAACTGTGACAATTGTTCTTTTCTCTCATTTAGTTCAGTTGAATTAAGTTAAAAGTTAAGATTTTAACCTTTTTCAATTACTATTTAATGATGATTTTGTTAAAAATGTGCATTTAATTTAGCCATATCTTTTAATTGTCCCCATGCACATATATTTTCTAATGCTTATGTATACCACATGTACTTAGTAGAAAGCTAAGCCTCTGAAGAGATCAAATGTATGATTTTAAATTCCTTTCTGATTTATCAAAATAAAATAAGAAGCAATGAACCATTAAAATATTCTTTAATTTATCTCTTCTCATAGCGATATGGATAGTGTGGGGGGCATTGATTTCTAACTTTTCATTATGGTAAACGCCTACATGGGAATGAAACTAGAGGATCTATGGTTGATTGAACAGTATCTAAAAATTAATCCAGTCAGCCAAAAGGGAAGATTATGGTTTTGGCTGAGCTTTCTTTGAGATATCATGTTTTCCTCGGTAATCCCTTTGTGGTCCAGCCATGGCTGAAATTGACTGGCATAGTGTGTCTCTGTGTGTGTGTCTCTGTGTGTTAAACTTCAGCTCTGCTGAAATTTACAAGAAGCTATCCAACCTGACAATCTTGCTTGATTTCTGTGGGTATAGTAAAAAATTGGTTTATTCTCACTCATTAAATGTAGCCAATAAAGTACAAAAATCCCAAAAGTTAATGTTCAGTAAGGATTTCACCTTTTGCTAAATCTGTTTTTGAAAAATGGATCTTTTTTATGTGTACCTTTTACTTTGCCTGCAATGTTATCCATTTTTCATTGTGATGAGATCATCGTAATTTTCCCTTTTCCTCTCACACAGATGAGTACTGAAATACTATGCATGTCTAGATGAAAATAAATCCTGACTATAGTTTAAAATGGCAAAACTGAGAAAACGCATTCTAATATAAATGTTAATTGTTCCAAAATAAAGGCAAAATTAAGAAATATAGATCACAGATCTGTCCTTGATTTTAGACTTTGCTATTCATTGGAAAAGGAAGCAATCTAAAAAGAGGAGTATATACTGTAGTATTGCATCTTATTTTAAAAATAATCCTGTAGCAATTAAGAGTGGTTAATAATCCAATTTTTTAAAAAAGAGTACTATATAATTAAATGAAGAATCTTAAGTGATATTAGCACATTTTGTTTTAATGGCTCCACTGATCATCCAGAAGTTCAATAGAGGGTAAAATAGCTCCACGACAGGAAATAGATAGGTAGTTAGAAAAGCAAACTAAATAGCTACTATATGTTTTGGTATCTCATGAGAAGAGATAGAAAGGATTTTAAAAACAAACAAACAAACAAAACAATCAGGAATATTTTCAATGAATAAATGTAAGCAAACACATATACTCTTTCTTTTTCTCATCAAGATTTTAAAATTTAACTTCTGAAACAAAAACTTGTATTCAATATAAAAATAAATGTATTGTTTCTCCAGGGAATTATAACTGCGTCTCTGAGTGAGGGTGCCTTTCCTGCTGCCTTGAAAGAGGCGGTAGTGAGGCCCCTCCTCAAGAGGCCCTCCCTGGACCCGGATGAATTAGCCAACTACCGTCCGGTCTCCAACCTTCGTTTTGTGGCGAAAGTTGTTGAGAGCATGGTGGCACAACAGCTTCCCCGGCACCTGGATGAAGCTATCTATCTGGACCCATACCAGTCGGGCTTCAGGTAGGGGTACATGACAGAAACAGTATTGGTCGCGTTGGTGGATGATCTCTGGAGGGCTCGAGACAGGGGCTGCTCCTCTGTCCTAGTCCTATTAGATCTCTCAGCAGCTTTTGATACCATGGTATCATGTTGCAGCGGTTGAGGGGGTTAGGAATACGGGGCACCGTTCTGCAGTGGTTCTCCTCCTCCTGTCTGACTGCTCGCACTTTGTGTTGGCAGGGGGGCAGAGGTCGACCTCGAGGTGCCTCGTATAGGGAGTGCTGCAAGTGTCGGTCCTCTCACCCCTTCTGTTCAACATTTATGTGAAGCCGCTGGGTGAGATCATCCGTGGTTTTGGGGTGAAGTGTCATCTGTATGCTGATGATACTCAGCTGTACATCTCCACCCCAGACCACCCCAACGATGCCCTTGATGTGATGTCTCGCTGCCTGGAGGCCGTGCGGGTCTGGATGGGGAGGAACAGGCTCAGACTCAACCCTTCCAAGACCAAGTGGCTGTGGCTTCCGGCGTCCCGGAAGGTGCCATCGCTGACTATTGGGGGTGAATCTTTGCTCCCCACAGAGAGGGCTCACAATCAGGGTGTCCTCCTGGACTCACGGCTGTCTTTTGAAGAGCATATGACGGCCGTGGCCAGGGGGGTCTTTTATCAGGTTTGCCTGATTCGCCAGTTGCAGCCCTTTCTGGACCGGGACACCTTGCGCACGGTCACTCACGTCCTTGTCACCTCCCGGCTGGACTATTGTAATGCTCTCTACATGGAGCTCCCCTTGAAGAGCACTTGGAGGCTCCAACTGGTCCAGAATGCGGCCGCGCGGGTGGTTATGGGCGCAACTCGTTGTGCCAACGTGACACCCCTCCTGCGCGAGCTGCATTGGCTCCCAGTGGTCTTCCGGGTGCGATTCAAGGTGTTGGTCACCACCTTTAAAGCGCTCCATGGCATAGGACCTGGGTACCTTCGAGACCGACTTCTGACACCAATAGCCTCCCACCGGCCAGTTCGTTCCCACAGAGAGGTCTCCTCAGGGTGCCATCGGCTAAATTATGCCAGCTGGCGACACCCAGGGGGAGAGCCTTCTCTGTGGGAGCCCCAGCCCTGTGGAATGAACTGTTCCCGGAAGTTCATTCTCCAACCTCCGGGCATTTCGCTGTGCACTCAAGACCCTGTTGTTCCGCCAGGCCGAGCTATCAACATAATAATTTTAAATTGGGTGTTTTAAATTTCTGGGGTTTTAAATTGAGCCGAATTATTTAATAATTTTAAATAATTTTAATTGATGTTTGTCTTGTGCTTTTAATAGGCTGTACAGCGCCCTGAGTCCTTTGGGAGAAGGGGCAGTATAGAAATAAAATTCTTCTTTCTTCTTCTCTTCTTCTTCTTCTTCTTCTTCTTCTTCTTCTTCTTCTTCTTCTTCTTCTTCTCCTTCTCCTTCTCCTTCTCCTTCCCCTTCCCTTCCCCTTCCCCTTCCCCTTCCCCTTCCCCTTCCCCTTCCTCTCCTTCTCCTTCTCCTTCTCCTTCTCCTTCCCCTTCCCCTTCCCCTTCCCCTTCCCCTCCCCTTCCCCTTCCCCTTCCCTTCCCCTTCCCCTTCCTCTTCTTCTTCTTCTTCTTCTTCTCTTCTTCTTCTTCTTCTTCTTCTTTCTTCTTCTTCTTCTTCTTCTTCTTCTTCTTCTTCTTCTTCTTCTTGTAATAACACATTTTTATCCCTTTGTGTGGTATTTTCTTCTTGATTCTTACAACAAACCTGTGAGGAAGTACATAATGCAAAATTATCCAAAGTACCAATTAACAGGCTGCCAGGTAATCATATTTCAACTGGTTGTAATTATGGCATCAGCACTTCACTTTTTCACTTAATGTAGCTTTCCCCCAAATATCACAATATAGGTATTGACAGGCTTAATTGATCTGAAACCATTAGAGATTATCTGTCAATAGGTCTGCAGAAGAGACACGTATAAATTTTTTAGAAAATAGTGTCAGATTTTTTTAAAAAATCAATGTGTTGCAGCAATCAGTCAATATGAACAATGTGATTTTTGGAAAGAAATATAGGAGTTTTATTATATAATTGAAGCATGGATTTGCATCGGTAGCAAATTATAAACAATGAGGGTTAGTTAATTCTTGTTCTTTGCACATTTTTTCTCTTCACAGGGAGATTCATCTAGGACAATTCTAAAGCCTCCAGGACAAGTAAATAAGAGCTAGTCCAGGGGTGCCCAAACCCCGGTCCGTGGACTGACAACAGTCCATGGCATGCCAGAAACTAAGCCATGCAAACAAATGAAGCTCCATCCCAGGACATGCAGCACATGAAACCATGCCCCCTCCAGTCTGCAAAAGAAAACCTCTCCATGGAACCAGTCCCTGATGCCCCAAAGTTTGGGACCACTGAGCTAGTCTATTTACATGAGGTAAGAACCAGTTTGAAATTTGAAAATGCTCTCCTTTTCTCAGAAAAGAAAATTGGTTTTTAAAACCATACAAAATGCTAAGTATATTCTTTAGAATACTCCATTAAATAAAACTGAACTTAAATTTGAGAGCTTCAGATACTTTTGTCCCTGTCACTTCAAACATTTTGTTGCAATGTCTCTGGAATAATCTGTCAGTTGTTCTTTCTATTGTTTTAACAAACCTCTCCTACCTTCACCACCTTTTGCTGCCTTTCTAGTAGTTGCCATTCTTATCTGTAATTCAAAACCAAAAGTTGAGTCAGTTACAGAAGTAAAAATGAAAAGCGGTCTCTCTTTTTCCACCACCACCCCACCCCACCTTGCCATTTTTATGTCCTTAAGGCTTTAGTCCAATCTGGTGCTCCATAATTCTTATCGCACAGTCTATTTCATATTATATTTATCTCTTTGTTTTGTAAAATCCACCAACTGTCTTATCCCTTTCATGCTAAATAAACATTCCCACAAAGGTATGGTCTGTTCATCTACTTTTTTCCCAAGTAATTATCAAAGGTGTTTCATCAAACTGTTAACAACTTACACTCAAACTGTCCTGTTCATCTGTTCATAATTTTCGTAGGTCAAAATCTTTGACAGCTTTGATAAATAGCTTTTTGCTGTTAGTTTTAAATTCTTAAAATTAATTTTTTTCATTTTTTCCTTTCTTTGATCTGCAATGAAGGCTGATTCGCCGAGTGTCTGTTGTTTTTTTTCTTCCTGCCAGTCAGGAGATCTGTCTTTAAATGTAAATTGACTATTTTGAAAGTAATTAAGAAACTAAGATTTCGAGTGAGTACAGTGTCCTAAAGGCTGTGCTGCAGATGCCAGTGTGGTGCCTCTACCTCATCACCTGGACAATCAACTCAGCTGTGCTGCAGGTGGGTAACCTCTCTGCCTCTCCTTAAACTGTGAACTTTCACTTACCAGAGTTAATTATTTGGCCACTGATTACTGCTCACAACACTATACCCACTTCTCTGGAGTTGTCTGTAATGGTATGTGGAAATGACCATGGGAAATGGGAAAGAGATACTGCCTATGGAAAAATTAGATAAGGGGAGTGAGAGACTACAGCTACCCAATGGGACAGAGAAAGAAACTTAGGACCTCCCTAATAAAGACAATGGGAGATTTGTACTTTCAGAGTTGCAAGATTCAATTAATGTAGCTTACCATCTCCAAGTGAGATGGGCAGTTAAGAAATATTTAAAAAAAAATAAATAAGAATTATCATCTGGCCTGTTTCCTGTCTAGTCTACCTTGGAAGGCTGACATGATGAGAATTGAGAATCTTCTTCAACATTCTGTTTGGTTTACATGGGGTCACAAAGACTTCTTGGAATGCAAGTTATAATTACTATTTCTTTTGGCAATGATCAAAAATCTGTCCTATCAGTATTCTTACTAAGAAGCTTTAATGACTAAATAGGCAAAATCTCTTTCCTTGCAGGCATTCATGTAGTACATAGTTATATAGGCACACAGGGGAGACAACAGCAGGTAGAGAAATTATTCAGCATGATTTCATCCATATTCATTTGTGAAAACAAATACTTAAGAAAAGAAAGAGTTTAAATAGTTTCTAGTGGTAATTATTAACACTACCAGTTTGGTCTTGCCACTTTAGCATGACCTATTATGTTCAATATACCATACCCTCAGCAAAGGACATATCTACAGTAGTGCATACATCCAAAATTCCACAAGGAAGGACCTGGTTAGTTACACTAAAGTGTTCATATAATTAATTTATTTTCATCTATTGAATAAAATATATTTTGTGAAAAATTCAGTCTGCAAGAATACTTCTTTATCCTTCTAGTTTATTAAGGCAACCAATTATCTTTTTGTATAATGTATTTTGTGAAGTGCGGAAATATTGTCAGCTGGCAGGAACCAAAAGATGTGCCTGCTCCATCATAGCTCCTGCCCTTTGGAATATTTGCCCTTTAGATATCTGGAAGATTCCAGTTCTGTTTGCCTTGTGTAAGGCCATAAAACTGGGTTGTGTGCCCAGGCCTGGGGCCCTGAATGTATTAAGGACCCCATTTCTGGTTGTATTAAAATCCATAGTAACAATTTTACTTGATGTCATATATATTTATTTTGTACTATTTCAATTATTTAAATAACTTTTAATTGTGTTTGTGTTTTATGATGAATGCCACCCACAATTATTTGTTGAGATGGGTGGCTATGGAAATTGATTAAATAAATAGATTTCTGTTTTCTGAATGCTAGACATTTGTGAGGTAGCAAAATGTGCTGTCCATTTTTTCTAAAAGCATACCACATTTGCTGCTCCAATTATTTCTCTTGAATATGTTCTGAATTACCTTCTTTTAAACAGCTAAGGATGTTAAAATGGGTGCTGGTACTTCAAAGAAATTATTTTCCACTAATTTCCCACCCACTTATTCAGTTCCCAGAAATACCTTCAATCCTCAAAGCTGAAAATGTGCCTGATCTTAGTGCAGAGACCACAAATGGAGCCAATGCATTAAATAATCTATAGCATATACTTGAGAGACCAGTCCTTTTAATAAAAATTGAGACTGTTGTGTCAGAGCCTATGAAATAATGTCCACTTCAGGAAATGTTTGTTTGTTCCATAGACTCACTGTCTATAGCTATTTTTTTAAGAAATATTTCTTATGCTGTATTTTTTGTTCAGAAAACAGGAAAAAAATTCAGCAGGAGGTGACTCTGACTTCATGTTTGCATGATAAATTTAAAAAATACAGTGGTTGAAATGTTACTATCATTTCAGTATTAACCTGTCAGTCCAGTAGTGGGTTGGTCCTGGTTCGGTCCGGTTCTATAGAACTGGTAGTAAAATTGGCGGGAGGCTCCGCCCACCCACCACAATGTCATCATGGGTGATCTGCGCATGTGCAGAAGCTTCTGCACATGTGCAGAAGAGTACGCGTGCACGATCCCACTGCAAACCGGTAGTAAAGGTAAGTGGAACCCACCCCTGTGTCAGTCCCTTTGCACTCACCATGGTAGCACTAGAGATTGCTTTGTTTAAAACTTGTTAAAAGTGGCACTGACCATCGCTACAAAGAAACAGAACCTGTGGCTCTCCATGTATTGAAGTTTTGCACTCTGAACTGCTTGCTGTTAGCCATATGAATGATCATCCCTGCTCTCAATCCAGGCTTCAGCAGCAGCATGTGAAAGGCAGATGGTTTCTCTTTCTTTTATCAACTGTCACAAGAGCAATCATGCTCCTTCTACAGCTGCTGCCTGCCTCCTTTGAAGGTGTAAAACAGCCCTTTCCTTATTCTCCATGGATGCTTTACCAGGAGAAAAGCAGGGCACTGCAATTTCAGAATGAAAACATCTTATTTTACCCTTAGGGAAATTTATTTTATTTATTTTTATTTATTTATTTTCATCAAGCATGTATTTTATGACAGATACAAGTGTAAACATAATTATAAATACATGAAAAAGATACTAATAAAAGAAGACATTAGGATAGGGATGGTACGCACGCTGGTGCGCTTATGAACGCCCCTTACAGACCTCTTAGGAATGGGGTGAGGGGATTTGGGGAAGAAACCACAGTCAGGTAGTGCATTCTAGGCATCGACAACTCTGTTACTGAAGTCGCATTTTCTGCAGTCTAGTTTGGATCGGTTTACCATGAGTTTGTATCTATTGTGTGCTCTTGTATTGTTTTGGTTGAAGCTGAAGTATTCATTGGCTGCTAGGACATTGTAGCAGATATTTTATGTACTATGCTTAGGTCAGACCAAAGACCACGAAGTTCTAAATTGTCTAAGCCCAAAATTTCGAGTCTAGTGGCATAAGGTATTTTGTTACGAGCAGAGGAGTGGAGGATTCTTCTTGTGAAATATTTTAACTATTTTAAAAAGAATACTTTGCAAGCCCATCCCCAAAATCTTTGGGGATGGGCTATCTCTGAAAATAAAACCACATCAACATCTGGTAGTGAAGAGATGTTAAAAGATCTGCTAGATCCCTTTTTTCTTTTTTTAGCTCTTAAAATTTAGCCGATGCATAAATGGACAACCTTTGTTATTTGATGGCCATCAGATAAAATTCCGCTACCTTATTACATATCACTGAGCTTTGATTCACAAGAAATAAATTTACACAAAAATTACGGAACAAACAGAGAAACTGGTTTAGAAGTACATTTGTGCAATTAGACTTTTATAGAGGGTGGGATTTTGTTTTTGTTTTTGTTTTGTTTGGTATGCATAAAGGAAATTTTTACAAATAATATAATCAGCTTTCTACTGCTCCGGGGTCATAGGAAAAGAACATTTTACATTAGGAATTTTGTTAATTCTATTATCCACAATAGCAGAAGGCATAACATTAACGCAAATCGCACAAATACTCATTGGTATTTAGGAACAGAAAGAAAATCAAAGGAGATCTAGAACGGTTGAACAGATGCTCTATAATTATACTGAATAAAATTTTAAGGTTCATCCAGTGTCCAACATTTTTATCTATTCATATTCTAGGGGGAATAATGTCTCTGTAGAAAATGTGTGTGTGTATGTAATATACACACATAAAGATTATAACACATAATCTTTCATCTATGATCTAGAATGAAATGTAATAATTGAAATAGGTGAATTCAGGTTTCTTTCTGCAAAATATTTTTTTTTTTATTGCAAAAGTTTTACAATTACATTTTCACCCCTTTTTTCACCCCCCCCACCTCCCTCCCCAAACTTCCCGTCCTCCCTAACCCTCCCTAACCCTCCCCCCCCAGACTTCCCTATTATGTACTCATAACTAATAACACTGATATATATACCTGAACCCATCCCTCCCCCTATATAATTTTCCCTCTTTGTCTCTTTATATTAAAATATTTCTAATACATTGTTTTCAAATAAAAGCTATTTGATACTTTCTAATTTGGTATTTGTTCTGAACATATTCTATCCACCTTTTCCATTCCCATTCATAAGTCTCTTGTGAACAATCTTTTAAATATGCTGAAATCTTCGCCATCTCTGCAAAACTGGCCATCTTCGAAGTCCATTCCTCGATAGTAGGCAAAGCTTCATTCTTCCAATATTTACCTATCAACAATCTTGCTGCTGTTATCATATACAATATTAATTTTGTTTCATCCCGTGTAAAACCGTTAACTATGCCCAATAAAAACAATTGTGGAGAAAATTGAATTTTTTTCTTCAAAACATTCTGCATGACCCACCATATTTTTATCCAAAAAGCCTTAGCTTTCCTACAGGTCCACCAAACATGATAATACGTAGCATCCAAACATTCACATCTCCAACATTTTGGCTGAACATTAGGGTACATACATGACAACTTTTTAGGATCTAAATGCCATCTATAAAACATTTTATAAAAATTTTCCCTCAGATTCTGCGACTGTGTAAATTTAACATTCTGAACCCAAATTTTTTCCCATGTTTCCAACATCACTGGTTCTTCAAAATTTTGTGCCCACTTAATCATGCAATCTTTAACTAATTCCGTTTCTGAATCCCTTTCTAGCAAAACATTATAAAGCCTTTTAATATGCATTAGACCTTTCTCTCTTATATGTCTAACCAATTCTTCCTCATGCAACATAATACCAGTTTTTTGGTCCTCTTTCCATCTCAATTGTAATTGATTATATTGTAACCAGGTTAAATTAATCCCTTCATCCAACAGTGTCTGCAATGTCTTCAACTGCCATCTGCCCGCATCTGTAAAAAGAACCTCTTTGTATAAAAACCCCCCGAGTGACATTATATTTGTATTCCACAAGGTATGACCAAGATCCAGCCATAGCGGTATTTTATAATCCCATTTGAGTCGGTGCTTCTTCGAAACTCTCATCAAAGAGTCTCTAAGTATATGACTTTTAAATACTTTATCAACTTTGTCATCATAAAATAGGTAAGCATGCCATCCAAATTCAAGATCAAAACTTTCTGCATTCAATATTCCAGCCTTTTTACCCCCAAACCAATCACTTGTTAAAGTTAAAGCTGCTGCATCATAATATAACTGTAGGTTTGGAAGTTTAAGGCCTCCTCTTTCTGGAACATCTTGCATAATTTTCAATTTCACTCTCGGCTTTTTCTCGTTCCAGACGAACTTATTAAGTCCAGTTTGCCAAACTTTCAGTTGTTTATCACT